AAATTATTTAAGCACCACTTATTCTACATTATATTTATTCTGTTTTGTTCTATTTTTAGCAAAAATTGTTGATATGTTTGATAGAAATTTAAATTTTCTTATTACATTTTATTGAAGAGCAAATATGTGATGTAATTAATATTTATTTAATGGGTTACGCACTTTAATAATTTTTATTATAATTTTTTAATTTAAAATTAAAAATATAAATGATTCTTAATAAAACTGTGAACTTAATAAATGTATAAAACTATTACATAAAAATTATGTAAAATATTTCTTAAAGTATTAATTATAAGTATATATATATATATATATATATATAATGTGGTATTTAATTAACTTTACAGAGTGATTGATTTATTACTCAGCAATAAATTTCTCCTTAAGTAATAATCTTAGAAATAATTTTTTTTGGTTTTATTGAGTACTATTTGTCTTTCAACTTATAAATGTATAAATACTTATTAGGTTCGTCCATTATCCTTTATAAGAGTAAAACTTTATTTTTTTTTTGATAACGACATACATTTTTAGAGCAATAAATTTAAAATTACACAGCAAATTGTTGACAAATTCATTGATTATATTGCCTTCAAAGAACAGAAATTAGAGAAAGTCCAAGTCTAAAACTGCATAAAACTGTTAAATAAAAATTGCCTGAAATACTACAATATATATATATATATATATATAATGTGTTATTTAATTAGCATTACAGATTAATTGATTTATTACTGACATCTAAATTTCTCCTAATAATCTTGAAAATATTTTATTTGGTTTTGATTATTTATGTAATATTAAGTTATAAGTGGTAAAATATTTTTTAAGTTCTTTATCCTTTAGGGATACTAACATTAATTTTTTGAATGACAACTTACATAATTAACGTGCTTATAAAATAGAAAATTGTCTAATTTAAAAAATAACAGATCGATTATAACTTTTGGACTAGTACTTAAAAAATAATAGTATCTTTATAATTAGGCAGATGAAATTCGGCGGCCGAGAATCGTCTAATGATAAAAATAGTCACAAATATATTAGAATAACAAATTTAAAACTAAACAATATATTGGAGGTAAATTTATGATTATTTAATTAATTCGATAGTAAATATTTGAGAAAATGAATACTGAAATTAGTTGAGGCAAAAATATTACCAACAAATTCCAATAATCGACTGAATAATATTAAGTATAGAACATATACAGGGTGATTTTTTTATCATAACCCACTCAATTACTTACAGAATAATAATAATTAAAAATTTTTTTTTTATTATTATCTTTAGTTACATATTATTCTTGAATTATTAACTATGTAATACTTTTTAAGTTCATCCCTTATGCCTGGTAAGGGTGTCAACTTTGTTTTTTTAAATGGTAACACATATTTTTAATTTAATAAAATATTTGAGTTTTTAATTCAATAGTAAATGGCATTTGAATTTTTAATGAAACTTAATTTGTTTATTAGATATAAACATTTAAAGTTTCAAATTTTTGAGTTAATATATAGGTATAATACACAAGGGTTTACAAATACAGGTAGCTAATTGGTTTTTTATGATATTGCTATCACAGTTACGGATTGTTTATTATCAATTATGACAATCAATAGTTATACATTCTGTATTGTCAGTTAGTGTATTTATAAACTCACAACAATGT